TAGGAACCAGTACCCACAGCACAGGTTCTACTGTCGTTCTACTGACATACAGAACCTCAGTACTGTTGTTTGACATCTGACCTGTGACCCTCAGGTTCATCGGCGAGGAGTCTGTAGCTGCAGGTGAGCGTCTGGAGCTGACTGACAGTCCCACCTGGATCATCGACCCCATCGATGGAACTGTTAACTTTGTACACAGGTGAGAGGTTGGGCTTACAGACAGAGAGGATAACTGTAGATATAACTCATAGAACAGTAGTTATGACTAACAGAACCGTAGTTATAACTAATAGAACCGTAGTTATGACTAAAAGAACCGTAGTTATGACTAATAAAACCGTAGTTATAACTAAAAGAACTGTAGTTATGACTAACAGAACCGTAGTTATAACTAATAGAACCATAGTTGTAACTAATAGAACCGTAGTTAAGACTAATAGAACCGTAGTTATAACTAATAGAACTGTAGTTATGACTAATAGAACCGTACTTATGACTAATAGAACCGTACTTATGACTAATAGAACCGTACTTATGACTAATAGAACCGTAGTTTATGTCTTAAAGAACCGTAGTTGTAACTAATAGAACCGTAGTTATGACTAAAAGAACCACAGTTGTAACTAATAGAACCATAGTTATGACTAAAAGAACCACAGTTGTAATTATGTGTATTCATGTGTGTAACTGTAATGAGAACTCGATGCGTTGTTTCTTCTGACAGGTTTCCATTTGTGGCCATCTCCATCGCCTTCACTGTCAACAAGCAGGTACACTCACCAGTTGGTTCCAGGTCAGAGGTCAGAGGTCGGACAGGAAATGGATTAACATGTTGTTGTTGTTGTCAGACAGAGTTTGGGATCGTGTACAGCTGTGTGGAGGACAAGCTGTTCTATGCTCACAGAGGAAGAGGAGCGTTCCTGAATGGAGAACCGCTGCACGCCTCCGGGCAGGAAGGTGACATCACACAGACGTGACAACACACGTACTCTGAGTGTTAAAGTGGAACTGGATTGGTTCTGACTGTTCTGGGGCGGCTGTGGCTCTGAGGCAGAGCGGGTCGTCCACTAATCGGAAGATTGTTGGCTCGATTCCCGGCTCCTCCCGCCACATGTCGAAGTATCCTTGAACAAGATACTGAACGCCGAATTGCTCCTGATGCATCAGTGTGTGAATGAGTCAGTTTATGTTTCATGCACTTTTCCATTACTGAGTGAATGTGTGTGTAAAAGCACTTTTAGTGGTCAGAAGACTAGAATGCGCCTATACAAATGCAGATCCATTTACCATTTACCATTCTGTCTCCTCCAATCAGATGTCAGCAGGTGTGTGGTGGTGACTGAGATTGGAGCAGAGCGTGATGACCTCGCTCTGTCCACCATGACCTCCAACATCTTTAGACTGCTGAAACTACCTGTACACGGGTGAGAAAATTACCTGTATGACATGTTTCCGTGTTGTTTGTATGTTGTGACCTCTATAACGTGTCGTTTGTATGGGGTTAGTGTCCGTGCGTTGGGGACGGCAGCAGTTGACATGTGTCAGGTGGCAACAGGCGGAGCCGACGCCTACTATCACATTGGGATGCACTGCTGGGACATCGCCGCCTCCGCCATTATTGTCCAGGAAGCTGGAGGCGTCGTCATGGATACAGACGGTCTGTATCTGACGTGTGATGTCATATCTCCACCTGTGTGTACTTCTTCTCATTGGTACGTGTGTCTCCTCAGGCTCAGAGTTCGACATGATGTCCCGAAGAGTCATCGCCGCCAGCTCCTCTACTGTGGCCAATCGTATTGCTCAGGTCATCCAGGTCTTTCCCTGTTGCCGTGATGACGAGGACCCCTGCAGGTGTATCTGTGGAGGGACAGGTGTGAACGGAGTGTAGGTCAGCTGACAGGAAGTCTGACAAGTGTGTAACAAGATTTTAAAAACACTAATAAAGTTTGAAATCAGATCTCCTGGATTCTGTTTCTTCATTTGCTCTAACGCACTGGTTCTATTCCAGAATCACTGGTTCTAATGTGACAGGGTCAGAAATACTCCGGTACATGTTCATTTGAATGCTTTTATTCGATTATTTATGAGATATTGTTTTTATGCATGATTTTAGTGTTGTGTTTAATTTGCATGCTTTTATACGTGCTGTGTCTTTTATTACTTTTAGCATGGGTTTTATTTGTTTGATTACGGAGTATTTTGAACTGTGAACTGAACTGTGACCTGGGAAGTCACGCCCCAACACAGCGGAGGCTAATCACAAGATGAGCAGCAGGTGTGCGGGAGCGGCGCGCAGGTAATAGACAGTGAGAGCGTGGGGAAGCACGGAACGGGTCGACACCTCCGGTGAC